TGTGCCTGCATATCCTTCTTCTTCATCTTCTCCAACTGTGCTTGTATGTCCTTCTTCCCTTTCTCCGGTGGTCAAGAATACGGCAAACCCCCCAAAGTCTATCCTAACCACCACCACCCTCTCTTCTAAAAGAGCCTCCTCTCAAACCACTATTGGTTCTTCATCGAGAACCAAGAAAGCCAAAAAGGGGATAACCACATATCTGGTTGTTACCTCTCAAAAAGGTTCCAGCCATTGAAACAAGCCTTACCCCCAAGGCAACTTCAGTTATAACCCCTCCTAGCTCTTTAGTGATTTCTTTAGTCACTGTCGTACATGTGGCTTATCTCCCAACCACCTCAGTGACCCAAATCACTGAAGGTGTGAATATCAGCATAGTCACTGCTGAACACCAATTTCCACCTCTCTTAGCCATATTTTCTTCTCCTCCTTCTTTGGTCTCGACACATGCTAGTGATTCATAATAGATTATCCTCGTTGATGATGAAGCAATCACAACAGGACCTAAGGTTGCTCCTATCGAAACACCTCAATCAAAGGAAGCCTATCCTCTCGAATAAAACCTAGAGAGAACCAACATCAATCCTTCAAATGGTGCTGATGACCCATCAGGTATTCTACCAACCTACCCCTTTATTTCTTCTAACCTTGAGCTATCTTATGCTCAACCCTCTTCTTTTTCAGTTCCTTGCTATGAAGGAACGTTAGCCATGGAAGAAGGCTACAATATGGCTTATGATGTGAAGCTGCTTCCCCCAGCAGTAGAGACTGTCTTAATCAAAATGGACCAAGTCCATAAATACATGCCTCTTAGGGATGAACTTTCCTCTGACCTCTTAGCTGTGAAAGATGAAGTCATTGACGTGAAGGAACTACTATCTGTGTTGCAAGCCGATGTATGCACCAACGTTGAGGCTATCTTTGCTCTCAAGAACAAAGTCGATAAAGCGCAAGCTCAGCTTACCAAGCATAGTGAGATGTTGCAGCAGATATAAGATCTTCTCCAACATCCAATGCTAGTTCCTACACCCTCCTTCACAGCTATGAATTGCCTATCGCTGGATCAAGCTCTCGAAGTCGGTCTTCTTCAAGTTCGATCTCTGGTCGTGCTTGAACAACGAATGGACATTATAGCTTTAAGTCTTGATAATCTCTTCTCTCGTCATGTTGATGACAAAGAAGGGGAAAAAGACTTGGCTGCTGCTGTTGTTGTCCCTACATGAGCAAACATCCTTTCATGGAGTTGGTGGGCACTAGAGTCAACCAAAAGGCTCCATGCAGTACTATACTCTTGAGAGGGTATGGGTTTGTCCTTTGTGTGTGGAAGGACAAGACAAAAACAATCGTGCATGGAAAGCTTCACTTGATCACGGAATGTTGTAATAACGCTGGAGGTTTCTTCAGCGTTCACCGAGGCTTGTGTAGTCTTCACACGTATTGACCAAGTTGTAATCATTGAATACCGCTTCAGATCACGAATGCACTAGTCACTAATCTTTAGTTTCAGTCTTCGACAGTCACTGAAGGTTCTTGGGTGTGAGTTTTGTCTTCTTGAAGTATCGCTATCGCTGTAGGATTACAATACATGTTTCAGTGATCACTAAACAGACTCAGTGATGATCGTTGGAACTGAATAGACAGAAATATAATACTTCGATAGGTAAAAAGAGATTATCATCAAATCAATGAGAAAGAGGATCAACATAATACTTTTTTATAACTAGTATAAACCTTAAACATTTACTTTGTAAAAAGGATAAAATCCTAAATCTCCCAAAATATTCAAACTACGTCAAAATCCATAAATATGTATAATACATCAAAATGAATGTTCAGGAGACTAGAATATGTCATTTTGGCATGTATAAAGTTTAGTAAAGAGATATAATGAACTCACAATGCTTGGTTTTGGTAAAAAAAAACCTAGAAACCAAGAAAACTCTAGAAATGGTGGTGAGATCTTGGAGCTTTAAACTCCAACTTGGTTTTTCTAGCTTAGGAACTCTCAAATGCCTGAGAGAATGGGAAATGTGACCTTCAATGCTCACCAACCGGAGTAAATGAGGAGAGGTGAGTTAGGTTGAGAAATAAGTTCAATGAGCTAAAAATCGCATTTAAGGCGTCTAGGAGTTCCTGCGATCTTGGCTCCCTGCCCCGTACCCGTTATTTATATTAATTAATAAATTAAATATATATTATTTAGTTCAACTGAATCGGTAATTCATAACGTCTTATTTACTGACTAGGTTTAAAATCTAGAATTGTTATTTTTTTATGTTACTATGTAATATTTTGGATGTCAAGTCAAAGTACAATTACTCGATATGTTTTAGATATTACTTTATATGGTTTTGGATATTACTTGATATGTTTTAGTATGTGTGACATTAAGTTTTTCTTTAATTAAATTGAATTTCTCTTGGTTTTAGCTTATTAATTATCATATGATGTTGTGATTTTCTTTTTTGTATCAAATTAATTTTCTTTTGATTTCAGGTTTATTAGAAATTTATGAAATTTAAACATGTGTGGTATCTTACATATTCTATTTAAAATAGCTTATAAAACAAGGAAAAAAAATCCTTGTTTCCCCATTAGGGATCCCCGTTCCCTGTTTGGGATGAGGACGGGGATGTGATCATATTCCCGACGGGGATGGGGACGAGGACAAAAATGAGGGATGAGGATTGAGGTCCCTACTTCATTCCCATGCCTAACCCAAGGATCCTGGTGCAAGAGTCGCCCGCGTACAAAGTTCACAGCTATAGAGGTTTCTCACGACCATGGCTTGCTATACCAGGCTCGCTATTCAAGTGTAGCCCCAACTCTGAAAGGCATCCTACTCATGATACACCAAATATGACATTGGATCACAACCCAAGGGTCACCACACTTATCATAAGTGTCGAATGCTACAAGACCCTAAAAAAAGGCATTTTCTTAATTCAGTCGTGATTATATTCCGAAATATCCATATAGCAAAATCTTAGGTGTTTCAATAAACGAGGTAATTGACTTAGAGTTCGAGCCCATAAACGAACTTATAAGGTTGAATTTTATGTTATACACTAGTAACACCTAAAATTTTAAATAAGCATCGATCTCGAACATTGAAAATACTCGAGCTTGAACTGATCAAGCATTATTTTATTAAAAATATTTAAGCTCGAATATGATATTAATTTTTGGAGTCGAATCCCAACAACTTATTACTAAACACCTATATTATGTGAAAGTTAGTTTTGTTAGAATAAATTGCATATTTCTTCTAGCTCGTAGTTTTAGTTCACGATTATCATTCAAATCGAAATCCATAACTATAAGATCCAGATAAAATGTAGAATCAAATCTTAAATATCAAATCAAAATCTATATCAATACCGTTCAAATATTTTGTAATGAGGTGATTATAATTTTTAACTCTACGTATTTATAATTTCATAATTTTTAACTCTACGTAATAAATTGCATATTTCTAATGTTTTCACCTTTTAAATTCGTTTCTTGATTATTAAGAAAAATCAACACAAGAATTTACAGATTGTTGTGGAATAAGAACAAGGAAGATCCTAATCTAAACAATCCAAATCTTAATCTTAGAACACAAAGAGTTTCTAAAGATCAGGAGAGAAAGCTGGAAGGTGTTTGTTGCATAAAAGAAGTTTAGAGAGAAATGTAGAATAAGGCTTGCTAAGAAGAAGGATCCACATGTCAAGAAAGGGATGAAATTAATATCCTTGTTCATCAGGTAATGCAGTCTTTTGACCACATATGAACAGTTGCCTCAGAGAGTTGATGAACATGTTTAGAGACAAGAAAGTAAATCGTACTATACTATTGCCGGATTGAGGCATGGGGTATGTACTTTGTTCAAGAGGATAAAACAAGATAATCTTGATGAACAAGATATTGATCCATCTTTGAAGGAATCACTTAGGACTTCTTCAGGTAGTTGATAACTTGGTCAACATTCATATTTCTTTCAGATAGTCATAGTATCAATGAACACCACTTTCAGACCACGAGTAGATATATTTTTATTTTTCACTACTTCTTCGATATCGCTGAAGTTTCCTTGATATCGAAGGGTTCAAGGAACCCGTTGGTTACCTATTTAGTAAAAAAAAACGTATTTTAAAAATTAAATTTATTTATCATTTAATAATAAATATATACATATCTATACTATATTATAAAACATTTGATAAAAACTCTTAAAAACCATTCTTTATGTATAAAGTACTGTTTATTAATGCATATTACTTAAAATTTAAGATTACAAGTAAATTGTGCGTAAGTACAATTATTAAAACTCCATTTTTGAATTCGTATAACTAATTGCAGATAAACATAATCAAATTCCAGATAAATATCTTATTTTAAATATAATTTAAAAAAAATATAATTAAGATAATCATTGAATTCTAACAGAATTCTTATAAAAAAAATCATATTATTAAATAAATTACTTTGTTATTAAATCTAAATTAAATTATAAAAAAAATGAATTAAAGAAATTACACAAAATCAATAACTTTTACATAGTTAATTTGATATTAATATTGATATATTTATTTTCGAAATTTTATGATATTTTCAAATTTATATTTTATTCAAAAATAAAAACATTATTCCTTCTTAAAACCACATAAAAACCGTATTATAACATCTTTAGATAAAGAATAAAATGAAACATTAAAATCAGAATATATCTCGTTGCATTACGCGAGTACCCTTCTATAATATATGTACACTGTATATACATAGATTAAATAAAATAAAAAATTTGATCGAGATCAAACTAGGAACGAGTAATATCATCCCCAGGGCCGTTCCTGAGGTTTTTGATGCCCTGTGCGAAGATGCTAAAAATATGCCCCTATGCCTTTTTCTTAAGCAAATGAAACGACAAAACATACAATTTTACGACGAAAGATACGATTTCATTAAAATGAAAAATACAAAGGGGACATAAAACCAAAACCCCAAATATAAGTACATCATCTAAAACGATGTCTTCGTGCATTTCTTGAAACAAAAATATCAATTATTTTTTCATATTCAACATTCGTTAAAAATTTACTTTCAATACTCAAAATTGCTAACCCGTTTAGCCTTTCTTGACTCATGGTAGACCGCAAATATGACTTCAGTAACTTTAGCTTTGAAAAACTTCTTTCAGCAGATGCTACCATGACGGGTATAGTCAGCAAAATCCTATATGCAAGCAACACATATGGAAACATATCCATCTTCTTTGCAAACTCCAAAATCTCAATTGATGTCCATGGCTTTTCTCCTTTATATGCTTCCGACGGTAACATTTCTTGTAAAATTTGTAATTCCATAAACAAATATTTCCCATCAATATCACAATCATCACCATTTGTTAATGCAACTTCAAGATTCATACAAGAGTTTTTCAATTCTTCATCATTTAAATTAACCAACCTCGACCCATCAAACATAAAACCAAAAATCGATTCAAAAATTTTCATTTGCTCAAATCTAGTCTTCAATTGAGATAAAGCCATATCAACCAAAACAAGAAAATAATCAGTTCTAAATGTTTCTTGAGCAGATTGTTGTTCTCTTTCCGTATTTGGAATCTCATCAAACTGTTTTTTTTCTAAAATAAGAACGTTTTATCAGAAATTCAGGCTCAATTCCAATTTCATTTGCAATATGTTTAGCTTCAATAATGGCAGAAGTAAGTCCAGTCTCCCTATACTTCTTAAAATAACAAACCAATACCTCTAAATTTTTTACCGCAACATCAAGTAGCATATCTTTAGATTGTAACTTTTTGCTAACTAAATTGATTTTATACAAAATTTCATGCCAAATAACCAAACTGACAATAAATTCAAAACTTGAAAGTTCACCATTTACCAAAGATTCAGCATCTCTACATAATTTTCCATCATCGCTAACTTGAGATAATTTCAACAAAGCTTCCCTTATTTGAGCAAATTGACTTTTTATAGCTTTAACACTTTCTATATGACTTTCCCAACGTGTAGTAGACAAAGATTTCAAAGTCAAATCATCAATAAACTCAAGTAAAACATTCCATCGCTTGGTAGAATTAGCAAACACATTGTATATTGTTTGACATGTTCCAAAAAACGTTTTTGCTTTATAACAAGAATTTGCCATATCACACAAAACTAAGTTAAGACTATGGCAACCACATGGCATATAAAATGCTCTAGGATTTACATCAAACAATCTTTTTTGAACACCTTGGTGTTTTCCTTTCATATTAGATCCATTATCATAACCTTGTCCTCGCACACAATTAATGTCTAAATCTAGAGATTTTAAAACATCTTGTAACACAGTGAAGAGACCTAAACCAGATGTATCCTCTACAACCAAAAATTCTAAGAAGAACTCTTCTACACTTACGGGAGCACACGACATATCAACACATCTAATAATCAAAGTCATGTGTTCCTTGTGACTTGCATCAGGAGTGCAATCAAGAATTACGGAAAAATACTTTGCCTCTTTGATTTTTTTAATAATCACACTCTTAACTTCAGATGCCAACAACTGAATCAGTTCATTTTGAATTTTATGGCTAAAATAATGATAATGAGTTTCTTTGTCTTTAATTAGCCGAAAATGTTGTTTCATGACAGGATCAAACTCCGTAATCATTTGAAGTATACCCAAAAATTCCCATTAGAATTTTGATAAATTTTTTCATTTGATCCACGAAAAGCCAAATTATATTGTGCTAGACACTTCACAACAGCAATTATTCTAATCAAAACTTCTTTCCAATGATCTGTATCTTTCTTAATCAATTCTTGTAATTCTTTATCAATTGTTTGATTTTTATTCAATCTCACTCGCAACTCAGTCCAAGTTCTCAAGTTAATCATATGCTCAAAACTATTTTCATGCAAACTTAATGTTTCACCTAAATGCCTCCAATCATTTATCCCTTCGGTAGCTAATTGACTTCTAGACCAAGCAGTTTTGAATATCTTACAACAAAAACAAAAAAACTTTATCCAACTCTTTTGAATAAACCAACCATTTTCTATCATAAGAATCACCATTTCATAATTTGCGGACATAATGTTCACAAGAAAAATGTCAATCTATTTTATCATTTGGAAAGTTGATGTTGGTTTCTCTTATAGGCCCTTTTTCAACAAGTAAATCTTTCATTTTTGAATCTAAATCATCCTAAACCCTTGGATCAAAAATATTCAAAGGAACTTCATCATTACATGGATTTTCATCGTCCCCAACTTCATTAGTACACAGATTTTCAATATTTTCAACAAAATCATTGGGATTTTCAGAAACATTCTTAGTGGGATTTTCAAAAACATTTTCATTGGGATTTTCAGGCACATTTTCAATGGGATTTTCAGGCACATTTTCAATGGGATTTTCAGACACATTTTCAATGGGATTTTCAGACACATTTTCATGCCTAACAAAATATCGATTTAACGATCCCTGTAAAGATTGGGCAATTTCTTGTTGTCTTTTTTTTCTTTTTCTATTTTGTGCACCTGATGGTTGTGATCTCGGAAACATGTTTAATATCTTATGAAAATCAAGCAACAAATATCCAAGCAATAGTCAAGCAAGTAAGCAACAAGCATAGAATGATAGAACCTGGATTAAGCTCGTGCTTCCTTTCCAACTTGAAGACTCGTTCTTGAAGACTTGGCCCTGCTTCCAAATTCCAATCCAGACTTGTTTGACAGTTCTAACTTGGCAACTTCGGACATCCAATTTCCTAAATGGCAAAATCCAAGCTTCCAATTAACTGTATGATTGTATCTACTATTAATCTAGATTTCAAATTTGAAGAATGAATTGAAGGATAAAGATTTGATAAACAAATCATTAATCATTAAATCTAACAATCTGGTAATGTCACTACTGTGGTACATATGCTCAAACATCTAATAATATGTTTAGAACTTAGAATCATAGAATGTGGGAAAGTGAGACTTCGAGACTCTAGTATACCTGTATATATAGTGGAGAGTAGGAAGGGGACTTACCAGTTACTGAGTTACCACTCTCGAGCACGACAAGTAGATGGCAGTCGGCACTCGGCTCCTCGATTAGATGGCAGTCGGCACTCGGCAGTAGCCAATCATCGGTCGTGTCGACTCCTCGATTCAAGGCCATGGACATAGCGTCACAGCCGTTGTCCTTGCCTTGCGTCCTTGCCCGTTAGAGAATAGAGAAGTTACCGTTGCCTTGTCTTACCGTTGCCTAAGTAATCCCCTGCGGCTATGCGCCTATGCCTCTGGAATCGGAACGTCTCGCTCGTTCGGCAAACTCAAAAGAATCGATTAATCGAATGGGGATTGGGGAAGTGCGATTGACCGATTGTGCGAACAGCAACGCAACGGCGAGGGTGAACGTCAAAGGCGTCGACCGTGAAGGCGTGAAATGAGGGGTCCAGTAGTCCAATTCAATCTTGGTTTTGAGCTTGTTTAAGTTTTAAAGCCCAAGTCTGTAATTTTTAAATCCAAAGAGTTAAAAGGCCCAAAAATAAAAACTAATAATATAGTCTATATAAAAATTTTGATGCCCCTTTGGGTTTTGATGCCTTGTGCGGCCGCACGGACTGCACGTGCCCAAGGACGGGCCTGATCATCCCTAATCTCATTGCTATCCCGTTTCAATATAATAATAAATCTTTGTCCCTGAAAAGAAGGGAATCCCCATCTTTTTATGGATAATATTATTTCCTCTCTACAAAATATATAAACTTCAAAACTTTACATTTGAAGAAGTTTCCAAAAATCAACATTAAAAGGAAATAAATATTATTTTAACCATTTATATTAATAAAGTTGTATGTATTTTTATTGTAAATTTAAAGTTTATTGGATGATAAATATATAAAATAGTTATAATTAATGATAATTGCATGAAAAAGTAACGTATTTAACTTGATTTTTATTTTGGATAACGTATTTTAAAAACTTTTATTTTGATACTTAAGATGTAAAATTTTAAATATTTAAGGACATGGGTAATTGGTTGAAGCGTTAACCGGTTACCATGCTAATGTAGCGTATAATGTGGTATCCAACTCAGTATTATTTGTTATTCAACTAATTTTATCACATCACTCATCACATAAGCATGATAATCGATTATTGCTTCAACCCGTTATCCAAATACTTATATGTTTAAATATTAAAATGAAAGTTTTAAAAATATGTCATCTAAAATAAAAATTAAATTAAAATACGTTACTTTTTCATACAACTTACCAAAGTGTGGATTGAACTTTTTTTAATTTTCAAAATAGGTTGTGTGAAATTCAAAATCAAATTAGGGCTCCATTTGCAAAATCCCCCAATTTCACAGTTCACGACGCCCATCTCATAGGAGCACCATCGTCCGTCGTTTGGCCCATGCTGCTGCCATTTCGCTGCTCCGCCTCTGTCACCGTCGACCACCGCCTCCCGTCGATTGTCCTTGCCGTGCCACAATAAAGCACACTCACCAGATCAATTTCAGTGTTTCTGGCAAGTAAATTTTGCAGCATCTCTGAAAGTTTTTTCTTGCTCATTGTTTTTGTTCGTGTTATATTCATCACTTGTTTTCCACACTGGGGCGAAGCCAGGCTTAATGTTCTATTTTTTAACTGTTGTTGAATCCATTATTGAGTAGATTTCATTGTTGAATCCAGTATTCTTCCATTATTGAGTAGTCTTCAATTTTCTACTTTTCTGTTAAAACTTGAAAGGAATCCATCATCCATGAATATTGAAGCTTAAAAGGAATCCATCATCCATGAATATTGAAGCTTAAAAGGAATCCATGGCTATTTACTTTTCTTCGCGAGAGTTTGAAATGAGTTTTCTTCAAGCCTAAATGTTAATTGTCAACTGTTAAGTGATATCACTGAGTTTTCTTTCTAACAGCCTAAATGTTAATTGTTAAGTGACAGAGAAAAGAAGTAAATTGTTAGGATATTTGAAAATTGCCATTGTTTGCAAATTGTTTGAGGTATTTGACAACTATGGATAAACTTTTAACAATATATGAACAGCAACTTGGTTTCTTATATTGAAAAAGATGTGTAATGCCGACCACGATGAAGATATCATTGATATATTTCAGAAAATTAAAACTCGTTGAAGTCATTGTTGAATCAGTACAGGTTAGTGCTCCACCTTTGTAATGTAGTTATGTACATTTATTTTTTGATTGACGTTGCTATCAATATCATATCATTATATTTTTGTTTTGTTGTTTTATTAATGAGGACCACCATAGACAATATTCCAGGCTCCACCCTTTTTCCACACTTTCAGAACTGTACTATTCTTGTATCTGGTGGTGATTATCATTTGAAACTCTTGTCCAAGAATGGTCTTGATGCCAATTTAATTGATCTATTTGGAATATAGCTTATGAAGATGTGCAATAGGTGTTACAAGATCACTGGTCACTGTTTTATTTCATTGATTATTTTGTGTAGGACTGTAGGAGATGGACTGGTTCCTGATTTTTGTTTCAGTAGCTATCATATGGTTGGCTTCTATCTGCAAAATTCTTCATGCATCGTTCTATCCATACCAATCCTCCTTCGCAAATAATGCCGGTGGGTGATCTAGAAAATATTTGCTATCGCATTTAAATTTCATACTTATGTTGGTTAGTTTAATACTTATTTTCTGAACATATCAGCTGGATCTCTGCAAAAGAAAAATGTCCTGCTAGTCATAGCCCATCCTGACGATGAATCCATGTATGGTTAAACCCCCATTACCTTCTTCTGAATTGTTTTTTTTCTTTTTAACTTCCAGTGTACCATATAGACTACTAGCTACATTTCTAGTATTTTGACCATCCATTGATCCATAATAGTCTGTGGTTGGATGATCATTGGGTCCACTGTGGTTGAATTGCTACTGACCCGTGATGTAATGATTACAAAATAAAGATTTCATATAATAATAGTCACGAGAGTAATAATTTATTAAAGACTAATATTTAACAGTTGAGATTTTGTACAAAATGCCAGAATTTTTTTTAAACAGAAATTTAAACTTTTAACATAAGAAAATCATATAGATAGCAATTAAAGAACACAAGGAGTCAAAGAAAACAATCTCTTTACATATGGTAAGCTTTTAGTCAAACAACAAAGACAAACAAACAAAGAGTATATAGAAGATATTTTACTGGGTGTTAGGATACTAAAGCTAACTGATTCTCAAATACTTGTATTATGGAATATTATTTTATTGGACCTTGTAAACAGCATTTGATGGCTCTGACAAAATGCTAATTCTACGTTATACACTGATAGCACCTGGAAACCATAACCTGCTATTTACTTCAAGTGGTTTTGGTTTCCTATATTTGAAATACTTTTCCACTACCCCCAATTGGAAGAGGGTGTGGAACCATCAATATTATTCTTTTAAGGAATAGGTCTATTGATAAAGTTTGGTAACTCTTGGTTTTTAGTTAGGTTTGGGGTGCTTAACTGAAAATGCAATGATTTCTTTTTCAATTTCCATTTGCTTGTAGGGCAAAGCTTCGCTATGATACGTAGTCGTTTACTTTTTGACTATGCTACACGTAACAACTTTACTCATTCTGTTTAGCAGATATAAGCATCCATGTCATTTAGAAGTCAATCGTAATTTATAGTATTGATAACAAGTTAACAACTATGAGGTACTACTTGACAAATGTTACAATATTCTTTTTTCAATATACTCCATGTCTCATTTCTTGACTTACCTACATGCATGGGTGTGGAAAATGTAAAAATGTAAAAGATTATGTATTTAATGTAGGAGTAATGGGAGCCGATTATAATCTCATAATATTAGTGATTGTAGGCAATCCCATAAAATCAGGGAGTCATAGAATAGTTTCCTTTTCTTTCCCTTTGCCTTGTGTATTTATATTGTATGCTTCTCTGTCAAGAAGAATAAGAAACACAACAAAATTCCTAAATCTGTTATGGTAGTAGAGCTATCGAAGATTGGGAAGCCTTTCTAGCTTTCATAAACCTTCTTTGATAATTTTGCAGGCCTTCATTGCCTCCTTCCTTTGATTCCTTTTTTGTGGCCTTCATTGCCAACAATTCTTAACCCAACACAGAAAGAATGAACAGAACCCAAATTAGAATCTGCCATAATCCATGTTTCTCAACCAGGAGATTTACAACACATCCATGCATCATACTGATTGGATGGAAAGAACTATCTCAATGGTGGATACACATTCCCAGGTGCTTGTTTTTTAACCTATTCAGGTGAGCATCCTTTTCCATTTGGATTTAATGTCTCAGGCTCAACCCTAAAATACTCATGGATCATTGATTCGGGAGCAACTGACCATATGACTCACTCTTCCAAACCTATGCTGTTAAAATCGCGATATATATCGCCGATATATCGGATATCGGTCTCTGGAAAAATATCGGTGGTGAAATATCAGTCAAAATATCGGTTCCGATAATATTGCCGATATTTACCGATATTTCATCGATATTTTGATGGAAAAATCGGTCCGATATACCGATCTTTTGTAAGGCAAATGTTTGGGCTTTTTCTTATTACATGTTGGGCTTAGTTTTTTGGACCTCTTTATTTGGTCAACTAGTCAACACATATTAGGTCTCATGCTTCTTCTCTTCTCGGTTCTTCAAAGTTTACGCTTCTTTTCACGAAGAAGTGAATGTATTAGCTGATGTTGACTCGTATGCCAAACCTATTGCTTGCGATTAGCTTGTTTTTGAACACTTTTCCTATTTTGTTTTATGACACTTGTTTATGTGATGTTTTAATTTTGAAACTATGTTTCTAAACTCTAATTAATGCATATAATATGTTTATGGATGCATACGTATAATATATATATATATATATATATAATTCTAAGAAATATTATATTAAGCTCTATTTTGGACCGATATATCACCGATATAACCGAAATATCGAATATCGCTCCTAACCGATATTTTGTATTTTGATCGCAGTAACATCATAGTTCCAAACACTTCTCCACATGCTCACCTTGTCCAAGTAACAAGAAAATTGCCATTGCTGATGGAATTTAGATCACTGTAGCCGGTATAGGAGATATCCAACTCAGCTTATCCATTCTTTTAAAAAATGTTGTTCACGTCCCAAAATTGTCCACTAATCTGATTTCCGTAAAGAAACTCGCACAAGATTTACCTTGTCAAGTGGTATTTTGTGACGAATATTGTTTGCTTCAGGAAAAGGATTCGGGGAAGACGATTGGACTTGCTAAGGAAAAGGATGATCTATATTGTCTTGAGATGCCAAAAAGTACTAGATTATCTCACTCTCTTGTATCAGAATCTGTTCTTTCCAATAAAGAAAAAATCATACTTCATCATTGTCGTTTAGGTCATCCCTCATTTAGGATTATTAAAGTTATTTTTCCTTATTTGTTTAAAACAATCGATGTTGAAAGCCTTCATTGTGAGGTATGTAAGTTTGCTAAACACAAGCGTATCCCTTTTCCTATCAGTGATAAGAAGCAACTCTCCTTTTTATCTTAGACATAGCTTCATGTATATGTTCAATAGTACGCCTAGTTCACCGGGTTCTATCACACTGATATTTGGGGTCCATCTAATATTTCCAATGTGTCGGGTGCAAGATGGTTCGTGACCTTCATTGATGATTGTACACGGGTTACTTGGGTGTTCTTATTAAAACATAAGTCTGATGTTAGCACTATTCTTCCTAATTTCATTTCGATGGTAAAAAATCAATTTGGAGTAAAAGTTCAAAAATTGAGATCTGATAATGCTCGCGACTTTTCTAATCAAACTCTCACCTCCTATTTTAAAAAAGAGGGAATAATTCAAGAATATTCATGTGTTAAAACACCTCAAGAGAATGGAGTGGCAGAGAGGAAAAATGGGCATTTATTAGATCAAACCAGAGCATTATTATTTCAAAATAACGTTCCAAAGCATTTTTGGGGAGAAGCAGTGCTCACAACAACTTATCTTATAAATAGACTCCCTACCCGAGTTCTAGGATTCAAAAGTCTTATGGATGTACTTTCTTCCTTTTACCCAAATGTGTCCACTTCCTACAATCTTGTACCCCATATTTTTGGATGTATTTCATTTGTTCATGTCCATAGCCAAGACATAAACAAACTTGATCCTCGGGCTATGTTAACTTTGGGATATAAACAAAGTCAAGGGGATCACACTCTGTTCATCAAGCACTCAAAAACAAGAAAAATAACAGTGCTACTAGTTTATATGGATGATATCATTGTAACAAGAGATGATAAAGAAGAGCAACAAGCCCTGAGCCTATGTCTAGCCAAAGAATTTGAGATCAAGACATTAGGAAGATTGGAGTATTTCCTTGGAATTGAAGTTGCTCATTCAAGAAAGGGAATTTTTATATCCCAACAAAAGTATGTTATAGATTTGCTCATGGAAACTACAAGGTGCATGCAAACCTGCTAGTACTTCTATAGACCCGAATCATAGACTAGGAAATGCAGAAGAAGATGCAGTTGTGAACAAAGAAATGTATCAACGGCTTGTGGGGAAACTTATATATGTCTCATACTAGGCATGGCATAACTTATGCTGTAAGCATGGTCAGCCAATTCATGCATAACCCAAAGGAAACCCATTTACGAGCCGCACACCGGATTTTACAGTATCTCAAAGGAGCACCAGGGAAGGGAATCCTGTTTGAAAGAAATAACTGTGCAACTCTTGAAGCATACACAGATGCAAGCTATGCTACGTCATCAGTTGACAGAAGATCGATAACAGGGTATTGCACTTTTCTCGGAGGAAATCTTGTGACATGGAGAAGCAAGAAGCAAAGTGTGGTAGCACAATCTAGTGTTGAAGACGAATTTCAGGCGATGGCACATGGTATATGCGAACTATTGTGGCTAAAAATCATCCTAAAAGATCTAAGGATCAATTGGGAGGGACCAATGAAGCTCTATTGTGACAATAAGTCAACAATAAACATAGCTCACAATCCAGTTCAACATGATCGAACAAAGCATGTTGAAGTTGACACACATTTTGTTAAGGAGAAGCTAGATAGTGGCTTAATCTATACTCCATTCGTGCCTACTCATAAACAACTAGCAGACGTTGTCACCAAAGGACTAAGTAGACCAATGTTCGAGAGAATTTTATCCAAGCTTGGAATGGGAAAGTTCCACTCACCAGCTTGAGGGGGGAGTGTGGGAAAATGTAAAAATGTAAATGATTATGTATTTATTGTAGGAGCAATGGGAGTCGATTATAATCCGATAATATTAGTGATTGTAGGCAATCCCATAAAATCAGGGATTCATAGGATAGTTTCCTTTTCTTTCCCTTTGCCTTGTGTATTTATATTGTATGC